GGGTCAGTTACAAGTTCTTTCAGAGCTGTTCTCTTATGAGTAGTTCTCAAGAGAGCTTTCTCAGCCCCACCTACCTCACAGGGTGTCTGTTGTGGGGAGGGGAAGGGAAAGGAGATTGTAAGCTGCTCTGGGACTCCTTCGGGTAGTGAAAGGCGGGGTATAAATCCAATCTCTTCTCTTCTTGTTCATCTTTGCACACCAAAGTTTTGCTGAGAGAAGCTGGTCATTCAGGCCATTGCCTTGTGTTAGACGGTAAAGTTTCAGACATTGATGACCAGAACCAACAGAGGTCCCTGCCCATGCATTTGGATCAGGCAACCTGAAGTGTCAGATATACCACTCCCAAGCCCAAGATACTTCAGGGTGCTGGATGATTAAACTAATTTAACTATCAGCCCACACTTAATCTGCCACCCATAATTACCAATCTGCTCCACCCAGACCTATTGAAATAAGCCTCTGCTCTTTCATATGGTATGAAGCAGATGGAAAAATAGACTTCCATAGCCAATTAAAGACAAACTTCCTGCTCGGCCCCAAAACATCTCACTAATCGTATACTGTAAACAAACTAATATATGCACATGCTGATATCCAAAGGTTTACTGCAGAAGGAAATAAGAATTCTCATGGCATTTGTAGATTAAAATGCATAAAACCTCTAAAATAGTGCAAGGCAACACAAAGTAATAAAATGGAAGCATCCTAAAATACAGGCCTACAATCTGGCCCTGAGCTACATGGGATCAGCACTTTAGCTAACAAAGTATATACCACATACTATTATTGGAGTGTTTTTCATTTAACGATATTGAAACTGCAAAGAGGGAGGCTTTGGCCTGCAGATAAAATGGAATCTGATTCAACTTTTAAAATTCAGCTAATAGAAGCTGAGATTCACCTCAGGGAATGTTTCTAGATGCTAACCACAGGTCCTACTATTAACCACCTTTCCTGTTTAAACCTGCTTATGTTTTCCAGTGGAAAAAATTGTGTGAGTAATTTTTTGGTTGAAGAGTTTGGTTCTCCATATCATTGGTGTTTGACCTCTGATCAATAGTTACTATAACCACACAGAACTCTTGGGACCTCATAAGGCCTTTCAGTTCTAAGCAACTGGATTAGCAATCAAGCTATCATTTTAGGGTTGCCAATCCCCAGTTAGGGGCAAGGATAGAGATGTGAAAGCCCAGAAAAAAATGGAAAAATTCAGAAAAAAACAGTTTCCCCCCATTTTTTTCTTGAAGCCTTTTTTGTTTTTTCCCCCCGAAAAATTGGAAAAATTGAAAATAGAAAAAAAATGATTATGGAACGTTTTATTTTAACATGATGAATAAAATATTTTAAGATATGGTGTTCAAATATTTTCCAAATCATTTCTAAAATATATATATATATGGTATCTGATCTAATTTCTGTGCACTGAGGACAAGCAAGTCCTAGGTTACAAACTGAACTCTCCAATGCAAGAACAAGCTGCATTTCTTCCTTTAGGAAGTACGATTGTCAGAAGAAAATAAAAAAGTTTCAGTTTTGCTTTTGCATGTGGGTGGGTATTCTGTTTGTAATAATTGTTTGGATACACTATATTTTTAATATGCTAGTTGTGATAATTTCATGCCAAGTAAAAATGTCCATAGTCATATTTTATGTTCCTAAAGTAACAGAATGACTTTCAATCTAGAAAAGACAAAAGAAATGCTAATGTAGCATTTTTTCAATTTTTCCAAAAATTTCCGTTTCCCCCCGAAAAAAACGGGAAAAACTCTCCTAACCCCCCCAAGTTTCAAAAAGATTAGAACATGGGGTCTAATTCTATGAGCCCCAAAAGAAGATGCTTCTACTCTCTATTATTATTATTTTTTCATCCTCCTAGGGGGAGGTTTTTATTGGGGGGTTTTCAGACTACAAAACTACAACAGAAAATATAGGAAAGGGAACTACATCTAGGGAATAAAGAAAAAAGACCCACAACTAACTAAAAACCCAAGAGTAGGAGATCATACATCACCTTAACACCATGCTATTTTCAAAAAGCTAGTAATAATACAATGAATTTAGTCAGTTATGCTAGATTAATTATCATTTAACCATCCCTTTAACTATTTAAAGAAATTCCCAGAGCATCCCCAAGTTATTTCAACATTTTTTCAGGCACAAATCAGAGTCCTTCAGCCCTTATTTATTCTTATCTTTTCTAATCCTCAGTTTATAAGGGCTTTTGGGGGCAGCCGCCCCCTTTTCAGAGGGGGAGTCCTCGTCCGAAGACCCCGAACCCAACTCGCCATCAGATTTGTTTTCTTTTTCCTCCTCTTTGCCCTCTTCTGGTTCCCCAAGCTGTGTCCGCAGAAATTCATGTGCTTTAAAAACAGAGTCAATCTTTTCTTTTTTATGAAAGTTTATGAAAATGACGCCTTCTGAGGTTAACCATCTGTAACTGATGCCATTTGTTTGTAAGAAAATGATTAATTCTTTATAGTTCTTCCTCTTGTGTCTTATATCAAATGGAATATCTTTTAAAATCCTGATATTATTGCCTCCAATTTTCAAGGGTGTTCCCGAATCTGCTTTCAAAATTTGCTCTCATGTGTCTCTTCGAGAATCTGACCACTATTTCCCCAGGCAGATTATTTTTCTTGATGTACGATGAATAGGACCTGTAGACCACATCCATCTCCAACGCTTGTCCTGGTCAGCAGCACTCGTACCATGTGGTCACTCAGCGGCAGGACCTTCAGGGCGGAGGGGTGCCTCAATTCGGCTTTCAGCCATCGAAGAGGTTGCCCTTCCAAAGCACCCTGGCTTGGAGCCTTTTACCAAGGCTCCCAGGGGGTCGTGACCCGTCGGACCCCCTCCCACATGCTGGTGTGCAGTTTACATCCCCGGGACGTCCGGGAGATGTGTCTGCCTGCGTGTCGCCATAAACCGGAAGCTCCCACTCTCCATTATTTCCAATGGAGGGAAGGCATTTAAGAGGAATATGGTTCCTTTAAATATGATGGCCAGAACTCCCTTTGGAGTTCAATTGTGTTTTTCCCTCTCCCAGAGGCTCCTGTAAAGTCCCCCACTGGCTTGTCAACCTCACCTGACAACCTTAAATGGTACCAATGTGTGTGACTTGGATGGAGAATGAGTTGAGAGCAACCATTATGTTAGAAGCACAAGCTCCTATCAGGGAATCACAAGAACCTTCTGGATGTGGAGGGTGGACCTGGATGTGAAATCACAGGATGTGACATCACAGAAGTGATGTCACATCCTTGCTCCTGGCTCCATTCCCAAAGTCCCAAGATGTTTCCTGAGGCGAACCTTGCAACCTTGCATTATTTGTTTCGGTGTTCCTAGCTGGAGGGTTCATTTTAATCTGGCGGAAGTTCATAGCTTGCAGTGGGAAAACACTTACTTGCTCTTAAGGTGGATAAAAATCAATGTTTTTTTAAAAAATCAAATGTTTTTAATAGAATGACTTTTGGGGGGAAATCTATCAAAAGATAGTTTTCTGTTTAAGATACATTACAGTCCAAAGGTTATTCATCATGAAATATGGGTTAGTTTTTGATTATGTAGCGTAAGGTTGTATATTCATGCATTGTTTAATTTTTTTGGGGGGGGGGTAAATGAATTCCATTAATCCATTCAAAACATTATGCTCTCCCAGGAGTTTCTGTAAGATTATTTTGGGCAATTTTTCTATCTAGAAGATATTATCACGGGTGCTTGATTTTGCAGTTCAAAACTGAATTTGTGTCTGCAGAGCTAACATGCCTCTTTTTCACAGCAAAATGTTATAAAACAAATAGAATACAGAGTTAAGAGACCTCACTTGTATTGGTCCTCTGCAAATCAGTGCACACAGAACCAACTCCTTCTCTCTTAAGTGCTAAGTTTCAAGACGTTCAATGAATATAAGGATGTTTGGGGTGGAATAGGTCTGGGTAAGGCGGAGATGTTAAGAGCTAAGTGTGAGGAGGGAGGGGCAAGCAGTACAAATGAAAGTGAAACTTTTTGAGTGGAATACTCCAAAAATCTTGAAATCTTTGAGTGTATTTTCATGGATATGTTTAAGCAAATACAAGAATACATATGCCATATAATTTTATTGTTTTAGTTAAATAAAACAATTTAAATCGTTATTGTTAATGATTGTTTTTCTTCTTCCAATAAAGTATAGCAGAAAAGTTGTCCAAATATGAATGATTAACCTATTAAACCGGAAATAGTTCTCCTTGGAATGATTTCATAATTATCTATTTCAAGTGGTAAATAACCAGTCATTAATTTTCTGATATAACTAAAACTAACCTGAAAAGTGATTATACTAAAATGAAACCTTCATCTGGGTTGTAAATATTAAGGCCAGCAAGAATGAGCCTTAATGTAGAAAACCATGATTTAAATTGAGTCTTATTGACTAGTGATTTAAATCAAATCCACCCTGCTTGCTGTTCTCCAAATGTGTGAAATCAACCGAGCTAGGGCTTCTAAAATGTTTGGTATATGCGTGTTACATTTGACTTTATTTGCAAACCATAAATAAATGACATCCATTTTGATGAGCGTAAACTTATTTTTCATAGTGTTGCAGTTTAGCAATCTGAGTCCAGTGGGTTCCTCACCTGGCTATGTGCTAGGAGTCCATATGGGGAGGGCAAACCGGGCATGGGTAGTCTAGGTATGCAAGAAAACTTCAGTTTGTTGAAATTATTCCACCTGCTTCCTCCATCTTCAAAAACTAGTATCTGGGAGGGTGAGTTAGATTGTGTGTGTGTGGCTTTTAGCCCACTTTCCCATCAAAGGTGGTCTGGGTTCCATGCAAGAGTCCTGAATATTGAAGATGCTGAAATGTCTGCCTGCTAAGATGCGTTCGTTTGACATTCTTTGTTCTGAAAAATGGAGACATAGCAGCTGCTCACAGGTTTATTTTAGGGGCATAGCTTGATGTTTCTAGCATTTTTCAGTTGGAGGGCAAGTAACTGGTCTGAATGTTATTTTTTCCCTAGTTCTTTACTGAAAGAAATGGATGAAGAACAGCCTTTGTCTGCTTGCAGTCATTATCCTAAAGAAGCTCTAAGGAAGCGTCAGCATTCAAGTCAAGGTTCCCGAGACAGTGATTCCTCTCGGGTATCCCGGAAAAGCTTCCGACTGGATTACAGGTTGGAGGAAGATGTCACAAAATCGAAGAGAGGTAAAGATGGGAAGTTTGCCAACCCTTGGCCAACGTGGAAAAAACCCTCTTTCCATAATATTTTGAAGTGGGTTCTTACAGAGAAGGACAACAGCAAAGTTCCTGGTTCAAAGCAGGTAAGTATTCTGTTTTTACTTAATCCAGTCATGTCCTAAGAGAGTCAGTTTGATGTAGTGGTTAGGAGCGTGGATTTCCCACTTCTCCACATGCAGCTGCTGGCATGACTTTGGGTTAGTCACAGTTCTCTCAGGGCTGTTTTGGAAAGAGCAGTTCTCGAAAGAGCTCTCAGAAGAGAAAGGAAATTGTAAGCAGCTCTGAGACTCCTTCAGATAGTAAAGGATGAGGTATAAATCCAATCTATTCTTCTCTTCTTTACTCTCTGCTTCACACATAACATTTTTAAGATGCAAACTTGTGTTTTTTTATGCATCTCTCAAAAAAAAATCAAGTGGGGGATTTGATGAATCATGTGATTCTTGTGTTGTTGGGTACATCCATCATGGGATTGGTTATGGCTTTGTTGAACGCAAACTTGATGGCAAGTTCATGTTTGCTGTCATACAATGTGTATGGAACTACTCTTTAAAAGCAGATGTTTGGAAATTATTGTTAGCTTGACTACATTGGCATACATGATGTATGAAGTCAATTTTTGTTAAGCAATATATACAGCACACCACTTGTTAAAGAAGTTAGAATCAAAGAGCGTCACACTTGAATCCTATTGAATTAAGCTAGTTATTGTTTTCTCTGGCTTTGAGTCATTGGGTGCGGTCAAACGGCGTGCTGGGAGCGGGTTAAACTGCTCCGGCCCCATTCGTTGTTTTTTTTAACCTGGAGAATCGCGATCACACTCACCTCCTTGTTCCAGATCGCTGCGCAGCCACATCGCTCCCTGCCGTCCACATGTGGGAGCGTGCGTCGGTGTTGGTTTTCTCTCTCTCTCAGTTTGGGCATGCACACAGGAGGCCATCTGTAGAACTAAAATGTTTGCACGTGCACAGAACAGCAATTTCCACTTCAACCTAACTGCTGTAACACTTCCCTTTAAACTTTAAAGGGACACTTGCCTTTAAACGTTTACCCTGAAACTGGCCTCCGTGAGATCCCGAACTCGTCTAAACGCTAAAACTTAGGCACCGTTTAAACATTGTTTTTAATAATGCAGCGGCAGACCTCCGCCTATACGCCACACCACCAACACTTAAAAAAGAATGGCAGGCGAAAAGCGGAAGCCTCAGGCAGCTTTCAAGCGGGGAGGGGGATTAAATCGGAAGTCGCTCGCCACCACAGGAACCATCAGACATCAGAAAAGTGCGGCTGGAACCAGAGAATCAGGGAAACACCACTTGGGCACCTGGTATCAAAATACTCCGGGTTAAAGCGGTTTTGAGCCGTGTAGATAAAATCCGTTTCTGAGGCGGGCCAAAAACGGACTAAACGGCCCGTCTGAACGCACCCATTGTGTAAAGATGTTCCATTTCAGAGATTCCCTTCTCCCATCATACACAAATGCTAGGTATCTTAGACAAGTTACTTTTGAACTTCAGCAGTCTAACACTCTTCTGTCATTGATTGTGGCACTAAGATTTGGGGCTAGGTGAGCAAGAAGTTTATAAAGACCTGGATTTGAGTGATATAGTGCAGCTGTAGATCTTCCCCATCCTGATGGTGGGGGGGGGCCCTGCTTCACGCTCTCCAGAATACTTGTGCAGGCCGCTTTCCCATACGCTTTCTGTTCTCCCCACCCTTAATAGATGCTAACTGTCCTCCTTCGCAGATTTTTGGGGGTTGTTAAGCATTAATTAAACAAGCACATTCAGTGCTTGTGAGAACTATTTATGTATAATTGATGAATTAAAACTTTTTTGCATACCGGGGAGTCCTGAGAACAGGCAAATCTCGTATCATTAATTGGTTGTCCTGCTTTTCTGCCCTGCTGGATGTAGGCCATCAAAGTTTTGGTTAGGTTAGAGATACACAAGCTGGTGATTGAGAACAAAGTCAAAGAGTGGCTAATGAAAATAAGTATCTGCACGCAGATACTTGGCTATTAGTGTGTGTGTGTGTATACACACACACATATATAAGGTCATCTACTCAGGCCTGTTAATTAATTCACACAGTTCAGCTGTGAACCTAGTATGGGAGGGGGAGCTTGTTCTCACTTTAGACACATTCCATGGATACTGCCCAGTGTTTGGTTGAGGAGGTAAGGAAGTTATGGCTGTCAGTTTTCTATAAAATGCAGATTCTTACCCTTTCCCTCCCTATCCCTACTTTCCTGCCAATAAGATATGTGTATTATTTTCTGGAACTCTATGTTTAAGAACTATCATTGCTGCTGTAGGACTTGAAGTAAGTGTCAGCTAGATTACTTTATTATTTTTTTATCATTTACACTGCCACTGAACTATATGCCTTGTTTTAATACTTTCTTCCTCTGAGGCAGAGGACATCTTGGTGGAGTGATTCCCTCTGCCCAATCAAGGGAGGCAGGAACTAATTTTCAGCCTCCGGTCTTCAGCATCATGGGAGTCACCCTCTTCAATTTGTTTCCTGCCTCAGAAAGGAGTGCAGCTAGGGAAATGGGTTCTGCCCTATCTCATCTACTTTCTGTTTCTCTTTGTCCTCTTCCCGCCTATTGATTCTGCCTTGCCTTCTCCTTTCCCCCCTTTTCTCTTTCTCCCTCTCCCTCTGTGGACCCTGAGAGTACGGACAGGTGCGGTAGCCGCTTAAGGACGCTATGCCTGTAAGAGTATGTTGGTTTCATGTCAGCTGCGGAGACTGAGCCCTCCCTCATAGGCAAGGCACCCCTGACACAAGGCAGCCTGCCAAGGAGAGCGGCATGGCCCGCATGCAGTCCTCACATGCAGCCTTGGCTGACCACTTGGCGCATGGAAAAAAGCGTGCCAAGAGAAATTGCCTCGCTGCCAGCTTGCCACTAGTAGACACTCCCATCATGGCTCTGCAATCCTCAGGCCTCTTACCAGAATATGGGGAAGGCATCACTTGGGACAGCCTAGACAATAGGGTAGATTTTGCTTTACGGAAGGCACATGAAGCCATGGCGATGGCAGTCAAGGGTTCTACAGTGGCATCCATCATATCAAGAGCTGCTTTGGTCCAGAAAAATATCACTGCAGATACCAAGTTAAGACTTTTTTGTTGTTGTTTAGAGCCATGTTGTCAGCTGCTGCAGCAAGAAGGACCCGCTGGCTCCAAGCATGGCCAGTGGATTTTCATGCCAAAACCATAATCACAGCATATTCTTTTTCAGGGAGACAGGCTTTTTGGAGATTGGGTGGACAAAATCCTTGTGGAAAGAAGGGATAAAAGCAAGCTTTGCCTAAAACCTTGAGGTGTACGGATAGAAGGCAGTACAGTGGGGCCTCCTTTTGTTCCCAACACATTTTATCAAGATTCAGGCAAGACCAAAGAAGGTCCTGTGGCCAGTCAAGACCCTTCTACAGAAGAGGAGGGCAACTATCCAGATTCTCAAGACAACTTGGTCCTCAATTCAAAAAGCCCAATCAGGGCAGGAAGCAACCTAGAGTATGATGCCAGCAGCATTCTGGTGGGGGTGGACAGTTTCTTCTGTTCAAAGAAACCTGGATTCAGTTTCAAGCAGATGTCTGGTCCATCAAAGTAGTCATCAAGGGTTGCGCGATAGAATTTTCCAGCCTCCCTCCAAAATGCTTCATATAGTCACCAGTTTCCAACAGATCAGAAAAATGACAGAGGGCCTTTCTGGCAATCTGACACCTCCGTTTGATAAAAGCCATTGAACCAGTCCCATTTCCAAACAAGGGGTCAGGAGTCTACTCTATATTCTTTACAGTGCCAAAGAGAAACAGAGATTGGAAGGCCATCCTGGACCTAAAATTCTTGAATAGGTTTCTCAAAATGAGGCACATCAGGATGGAAATCCTATGCTCCATCATAGAATCTCTGCAACCAGGAGAGTTTCTCATTTCCATTGACATCACAGAGGCATATCTTCATGTTGCTATTCTCCCAGCTCACAGGAAATACCTCGACTTCTGCTTTAGAGACTCCAGTTCCAATTCAGAGCGCTCCCATTCCGCCTCTCTACTGCTCAGAGGACATTTTCCAAGATACTGATCACTGTAATCATCAGATTTGGACAGCAAGGTATTAAGAACATAAGAATATAAGAGAAGCCAATGTTGGATCAGGACAATGGCCCATCCAGTCCAACGATCTGTTACACCGTGGCCAAAAATACTAGGTGCCATCAGGAGGTCCACCAGTGGGGCCAGGACACTAGAAGCCCTCCCACTGTTCACCCCCCCCAAGCACCAAGAATACAGAGCATCACTTGCCCCAGGCTGAGAGTTCCTATCTATACCTTGTGGCTAATAGCCATCGATGGACCTCTGCTCCATATGCTTATCTAATTCTCTCTTAAAGCCGTCCATGCTTCTAGCTGCCACCACCTCCTGTGGCAGTGAATTCCATGTGTTAATCACTCTTTGGGTGAAGAAGTACTTCCTTTTATCTTTCTAACCTGACTGCTCAGCAATTTCATGGTGTGCCCACGAGTTCTTGTATTGTGAGAAAGGGAGAGAAGTACTTCTTTCTCTACCTGTTCTATCCCACGCATAATCTTATAAACCTTGATCATGTCACCCCCCAGCTGTCATTTCTCCAAGCTAAAGATCCCCAAGCGTTTTAACCATTCTTCATAGGGAATGTGTTCCAACCCTTTTATCATTCTAGTTGCCCCTTTGTCCACTTTTTCCAATGCTATAATATCCTCTTTAAGGTGTGACCAGAACTGTACACAGTACTCCAAATGAGGTCGCACCATTGATTGCTACAGAGGCATTATGATACTGGCTGATTTGTTTTCAGTTCCCTTCCTAATAATCCCCAGCATAGTGTTGGACTTTTTAAATTGCAGTCGTACACTGTCTCGACATTTTCATTGAGTTATCTACTATGATTCCCAAGATCTCTCTCTTGGTCAGTCTCTGCCAGTTCAGACCCCATCAATGTGTATTTATAGTTAGGATTTTTGGCTCCAATGTGCATCACTTTGCACTTGGCCACATTGAACCCCATTTGCCACGTTGACGTCCACTTGCCCATC